CTCTTCAGTTTGCCTGTTCGCTCCTCAATTCCCTGCTTGCCAGCTCTCATTCTTTTGATCAGTTGTTTCATACCTTTTTAAAATTGCAGGATTCTGGCTGTTTTTTTTTTTAATTGTTCACTTATTGGTTATGGGATAACTTGTCCTTCTGATTCAGAAGTTCCAAAGTAAAGAGTGGTACTGAGGCCGATGCTGCCAGCCCAACCCAGTGTGCCCTATGGCCTTTGTCCTCTTTGCTTCTGCACCTCTGGTCTCGCCCACAGCCAGCCCCATGCCCCCCTCCTCTATGTGCTGTTTATGCTGTTGTTTTGAAGGTCCTTGTCTCTCATGCACTCGCTCTTCTCACTCAGCTCCCCATGCTAAACAGAATGGCACAAGCCTGTCATCTACCAACTAGAAAGCAGAGGCAGGAGGAATACAAGTTCCAGGCAAACCTGAGCTATATAGAAGACACTAAACTTTATTAGCCTATTGCTGTACAGCATCCATCATGTGTGACCCTGGGCATGAAGGAGGACCAATAGTTACAGTGATGGTTATGGCAGTCACAAAACAGGATTTCGCTGCCGTAACGTATTGTGTTCCCAGCCTTTCCAATGTTTAAGATGCACAAATGCATATGACATCTGTACCCTAAAAAGGTGCTGGAATTCTCATTTATGGACAAGGAGACTGTCATTGAGAAGTTAAAAGAAATGACACATCCAAAGCCACAGAACTAATTCATGATAGGTAGAGGTGACTTGGAACCCAGTGCACAGAGTTCCAGAATCTGAGTTCTAGTCTACTACCCACCGCGGTTCGTTGTGGTTTTGATCGCCTTCAGCCCATTTGCTTTGAAGGTAACCTAAACAAGAATGTATTTATTCAGCATGACAACATTCTGGTAAACATGAGTCCTCACTCTTGAGCTATTAGTTTATAGTCTAGCTGAAGAAATGAAGCCCTAGTGATGGAAAGAAGCTTTGTAGAATGTTTGGGAAAGAATTCCCATGTGAAGGAAGAATCCCTGTGAACTGCAGTTCCATAACAGAAGAGAACTTGGACTCGTTGGGGAGAATTTGGGAGAGCGGACAGAATGTGGAAGGGTTTCTCTTCTCCCCACCCCTACGCCAAAGAGTCAGAGTGGTCATCTTGTCTGAAAGAGCGGGTTGTTTCAAAATAGGAAATGCGTTTGAAAGAATGGGGAAGAAGTGTTGTGTGGATGTCTCAGAAGGCCAAGTCCACACTTTCTGACCAAAGGTATAGTCAAAGAACTGCAGCAATACGCTTTAGCCACACAACAGAAGAGAAAGGAGATGTAGTGGTGAGGGGAGTCCTCCATACCTGATAAGACCACAGTTCTGTTGTTTTGTAGGCTTCAGTCATACCCACTCCGTGTCCCCCCATCTTCTGGTTTCCTAGCTTCCAACTCAGCCCCAGAGGACTCTTGCTGGTTTCCGTGTTCCTGTGCCTACCCTTTCCAAAACAGGCCTGTCAACCTGAAACTTAAGTACAAGCTGGCAGAAATCAACTACTAACAAATTAAGTTACCTTAATAGAGTAGATGCCTAAAACAGAGCGTTCCCCACTCCCCACTCCAGGAATTTTTCTCCACAGTTGCCAGGCTAGAGCAAAGCAAACCCCATTCTCCATAATTAGTCCTTTCTTCCTAGAAAGTCCTCCAAGCCTCTCCTAAACTCCTGCTCCCCCTAGTGGCACCCTCCCAATTCCAACTAACAAATTCTATAGCTACATTTTAAGAACTACAGGAATCAAACCTCCCATTTGCCCTAAAAAATATTAGCCTTAACAGATGGTTAGGGAGGATAAAATTTATACATGGACCAATGTGCCTAAAATCCATGCATGAACAGCTTTCTAATTCCAACTAGAAAACAAGATTAAACAGTGGATCCTGAAGATATTACAGAGTTGAAAGAGAGAAAGTATTTAATCAAACGAGAAAGCCTGTTCCAAATCCTGTCTCTACCTGCAAATAGCTGTGTACCCTTGCCCTGAAGGTTTCTAATGTAAATAATTTATACAGTGACCACTACAGGGCTGTGTGGACTTGTTTTCTTAAGATGACATTCAAAGCCTTTATGAAGAGAAATGGTATACTTATTTTTCTTGTATTCCATTTATGGGATAAAAACATAAACAAATGTTCAGTCTTATGATCACTGTTTCTTCCTTCCCCTCTTCATTCTTTTCCTAGTTTAGAGGTGACTTGGTGCCAAGTATAATGGATCTCCGCCTGTCTTTTCACCACTTCTGTCTATAGCAGGATTCTTTTCCAACTTCAGATTTAGGCGTATGCTTTGGATTAGGTGTTATGGCTTATTCAGCTGTGTCAGTCCGCAGAGCAGTTGATGTAGTTATGAAAGGTAAACTTCACCTAAAAAAGATGGAGGATCAAGCTCAGAAGTTCAGTACGGGTGAGGTCTGTGCCTTTGTATAAGATCAGACAAGTATAATAGTCCTATGGGAAAGGAACCTGAGTATGGAGATCCAAGAAACTCAGAGAGATTGGTCAATGTCATATGACCCAATATAATGTGACCATTCTACTTCCTCACACCCAACACACACGCATGCATGCACGCACGCACACCATCACAAGAATCAAACATTACTAACTAGAGGTAAGCAGAAACACCAAAGAGTGGTTTAGAAGTTCTGTGCATTGTTCATTAGAATAGCAGTTTCTCTGCAAAGTAGGAAAAATGCTGCATCTACATTTTAGTAGTTGATAGACTGCATTGTCGAAAGTCAAAAGGTTTGCCAATGACCAGTACTTAGATCCTAGAAGCCCCAGAGTAAAGTTCAAAAGGACAATCTTCTAGCCTCCTGCTCCAAACACTGAGGAATCCTGTCTGTAAGGAAAGGCAAAATGCTGCTGCTTATAGGGAGGCAACCAGGCTAATGGATTTGGGGACTTAGTGACCTTTAACCCCTGCCTTCTCAGTGTGGTGAAACCGAATATGATCTGCTACATTCTATTTAAATTGGAGCCGTCTGCTTTTGCTATTCTTATAAAGCAATTTGTGGAAGTGTGCATATTCCTGGGACATCATAAGATTTTAAATCATGGTCAATTTTACTATTTTTTCCCATTTTTAAATCTAAAACAGCTTGCACACCTGAAGAGACTTAGCAACGTTGTTGCATTCCGCTGCGTCCGAGGCGATTCCTTTAGGACACCATGATGCTGTTATCAGGGATAACTTGCATATAACCATCTTTCTCTTATTAGCTTCTTTGAAGTAAACTGACATGCAACTATCTGACTTAGAGAAAAAATACCCAGAGATTAACAAATGTGTGAGCGAATGCATGGACGAGTTGCCTCATAGCCGCCTGCTGCTCCCCAGGCAGCCCCCATGCAGTTCAGCTCTAGCATGCTTGTCCCCAGTGATATTAGCGATGGTCCAGAATAGGGCTAAATTAAGTGGAAATCACTGCAAAACTTCCCTCTGCCTAATATGTTCTACTTTCTTCTCCATTGCGTGTTAAACAGAACTGCCCTACGTAGCTAGATTGGGGGATGCAGTCTTACTCCTGCCTTCCTTCTGACGGAGGTAAAAATAACAACACAATAGGCCCACAGCTAGCAGAGGAGCTGAGGAGAATCCTTCATTACAGGACTGGTCATCCACCTTAGCAGTACAGAGAGATGACCAGAGGTGGTGCTGAGCGGCAGAGCCATTGGGTCTAGAGGGACCCTGCCACAGACATAGTTAAGAAAATCAAGTGAATATCCTGTTGGAGAATGTTGCAGGGCAAGATACCTGATTTCTGGCATTCAGTTAGCTACCAGGCTTTAAGAGTCCTCCTCCTCTTTGAATAAGTGATACCCCCCCCCTCCGTCATGCCTGCTTGGTTCCTAGGGATGGATGTAAAAACTAGTAGTTAGTTCTTTAGGTATTTTGAAACTAGGAATGTGGAAAGGACAAATGAGGTGGAAAGAACTGGTCCAAAGATGTCACAAATACCTCTCTGTGGCATGAATGATCGGTCCTCCTGAGACCCTGCCTGCTCCAGGCCCTAGATAGGTTAGTTCCTACCCTGTCTCTCTACCTCTTCAAAACTCCAACATCTTCTTACACTTCTAGGTCTTGCCAGCCTCCCTGAGTCACGAAACCGTCAGTTTCAAGGCCCCATCATTAAGCTTTCCTGGCAGAGCGTGGAGTTCTTAGAAATAGTACAAATCTAGGAAGTAATCGTCATTAGACAGACTAGAATTCGGTTCTGAAGTTCATTATACGTGCCCACAATTTCACTCTTGTAATTCTCTTTAGGTATACAGAGATACCTAAAGTACCATGTGGCTGTCCTAGACTTGTCTGTCCATGACCTAGAAGGACAAGTGTTGCTTCACTATACTGGGCATCTTCTCTGTAGAAGGTCCTCTGTAATACTGTGTCAGATAGAGGCAATATGACCTGTGGGCTGCACCCGTGTTTACAGGTTGATGAAAACAATAGGTGTTTATATTACTGCCTAGAATTGGAAGACATATCATTTCCTTTAAATTACAATCATCTTGTCAATAACTGCTCCATAGCTGCTTCTTCTACCATCATGCCTTAGCAGGTGCCTCTTATTATATCCCATAACCCTGTGTTCTTCCTACCATCCAATCAGGAACTGCTCCTCCTATATAGCTTGACATTTTCCTTAGTAAGTCTTTCCCCAAATCTTTGTGAGCATCTTTTTAACATCCTCTCTCATGGTGTATGTATTTGGTGCACAAGTGTTGTCTGTTCCAACCAATAGCATTAGATAAGGTAGTCAGTACGCTTTAAAGAAAGACCAAAACCCCCATTTAAGATTGCCAACATGCCAATCAAATCAACAAGAGATCCTGGGTTTCCTGGATATCCTATCTTGTCTTTCTGAGTTGTTAGAACAAAGGTCTCAATACACCCCTACATATTTTCCCTATAATGAATACCAAAAAAAAAAAAAAGAGCAGCTGACTTGACCAGGTCTACATTTCTTTTCTGTTGCTCCAGGATTCTTCTACAGCCAGATGATTCCTTACAGATCTTGGCACCAGTGGAAGCTGATGTGGGCTTCTATACTTGCAATGCCACAAATGCCTTGGGATATGACTCTGTCTCCATTGCTGTCACATTAGCAGGTAACCTGAAAACCCCTCTCCAGTTTCACTCTGAAATCTTTATGACTAAATGCCTACAATATGTCACAAATGCCTAGGATGCATAGATAAATGTGACTTTGATCCCACCCACAGGGGGTTCGTAATCTATAATCATAATAGAAATGAAGTTTAGCATGAGAAAGAATAAAGTATTGCAACTGAAAGCAGAGACATTTTATGCATATGAGGAGGTCTTGGAACTTGGGTGAATAGGGTTTTTTGTAAATGGAAACAGAACAGAGAGAATGAGCAAAGGTTATGCCTGCAAGCGCACAGCAATGGGGAACACCCGTAAAGTGTGAGCTACGATTATTAGGTGACCTTTGGAAATCCTGTCTTTTCTCCTTGTCCTACCTCTTGCCAAAAATCAAAAGAGAGACTTTAAGACTGTGGGCAACTAGAATTCTGTAGTCATAGCTTAGAGCAGAATGTTCCCCAACTTCTCTCTCGGTCTGCTTTATTCAAACTGGAGTTTTGTTCAGATGTATTCCTACCAATGGTTTTCCCATATCCACACAGGTTAGACAAAACTTTCCACATGTGACTAAAATCACCAACCTTCAGACTACAATGCCTTCCAAGGCTGTGGTGTTGAAGCGATGTACATTTACAAAACTTTACAACCTGGGACAAATCCTTGCCTTTGGAACCATGAGAGACCTTAGATCCTGACTGGACCAAAACCTTGTTTCTTAGAGGCCAGGCAACCTGAAGTCACGCCTCTGCCTAGCTGATGGGAGGAACAAGGGGCTGAGGTCCTCTAAAGCACAGCAATTCATTACCTGCATTGGCCTGCTGCTCCTACCAAGACAGGATCCTTTTCCTTCGACCTGAGCTAACCGTCTTTGCAGCAATGTGCCGCGTGTGTTTGTATTTATTCTTTTCGATTGCTACTCCCATCAGATGATTCAGTGGATGCTAGGAAAGCCGGCATCACCCACACTGACCTCATCCGTCTCTGTGGGGATTATGTTGTCACGCTGTACTCGAGTCACACGTGCTACTCCCTTTCAGATCTGGTCTGCCAGAGCCGTTCTGCCCCCTTGACCTAAGAGACGGAATCCGGGAAAGGACCTGTAGCAGCTTTGCAGGGAAGATGAAAGCTGATAATGAAGAAGGCAGGCTAGGGTGCCCTGAGATGAGAGAGGGAGAGAAGGAGAGAGGGAGAGGGAGAGGGAGAGGGAGAGGGAGAGAGAGAGATTTAAACATTTTCTTTTCCCTAATGCATTCCAGTTCCAATCTTCATTATTCTCTCTATACAGAGCCCAGATGCTCAGCAACAGTCTTTTAAAATCTCTTCTGCTGTCTGCCCTCCAACCCACACTTTCATGGGCACTGCTAACATGCTTCCAACTGCTGGTCAATGGTGGTTTAACTCTCTTGTTTATATTGAGTTAGATACAGTTCAGCTTTGCCAGGAACCGAATACTCTTGTTCTTCCGAATTTAATACAATGAATGGAAACTTGTCCGGGCTTAAACAAGGCTGTTGTAACATCGGGATCCTCCTTAGCTCTTTGAAGGCGAGCTTTTGGAAGCTGCCAAGAGTTTCAAAGTCAGAGAAGAGAGACAGAGGGGCTAGTGAGACACCAGGGGAAGAAGGGGCTGAGTGATGAAGTATGACCACAGACACTAAGGTCCACCTTCCACTGCTGGGTTTGTCCAGGTCGGCTGATAAACCAACCCTTCAAGCAACCCCTTTAGAAGCAAAGTTGAAAATGTGTGTTGAAAAAAAAAAAAGTTGAAAAAAAAAAGTTGAAAAAGTGTGTGCACTTTTATCTGGTGTTGTCATCCACACCTCAGTCAATGTTGTGAAACATTCAGTAAAAAAAAAAACTCAAGTTTGGGGTTGCTAGGTGCTTACAAATTAGGGAAGGCAGCAGATGTGCCTGTCTCAAATGGAGAAATTGGTAGGATCCCGCTGAAGCCCAGCAAAGCAGCTCACACCTGTAACCCCACCACTGAGAGGCCAAGGCAGGAAGATCTGAGTCCTCAGCCAGCCCGCACTATTTAGCAAGCTCCAGGCCAGCAGAGGTTCTACAGAGAAACACCATCTCAAATCAAAACAAAGACACTGCTCCGCAATGCGTATTATATGAACTGAAAATAACCCTGAGTTTGGAGGCGGGAATGAGTGTGGAGCATTTCTAAATTGGATTATCAGTCATACTGCTTATTACCTGAATGATCTTGAAACAAGTCTTGGGTATCATTGAAAGTAATACTGTCCACAGGGTGGTGTGAGATTAAGATTGTAGATGTGAAAATCCCTCTTAAACTGAGGGATTCTGGGAGTAGGGGGTTGGTCTTCCCCAGAGACAAGCACACCACTTGCTTATCAAACACCAAAAGCTCAGCCCTGAACACATACATACAAGTAACATTGTATGGACTTAAGAGGTTATTTAGGAATATGTGTGTATACATAGACATATACCATGCAGTAACAATAAAAGAAGAGGCCATGAATTTGAAGGAGAGTGGGGAGGAACATATGGGAGCCCTTGGAGAGACAAAAGGGAAGGGAGATATGCTGTAACTATCTTATCTGTGTATGTTTGTATGTGGATGTTTGTTTGTATGTGTGTATGTATGTGTGTGTGTGTGTGTGTGTGTGTGTGTGTATGTGTATGAATGAAGGAAGAGCTTAGACTGGTGTTGGCAATACGATTCACAACAATAAATGTTAGCTTTCTTTCTCTAGCTCTTCTAAAGTGGAAACCGCCCTAAGGTTGAAAAGCATCAGCCAGCTTTGTTTCCATGCTGTTTTTAGCCTGAGTCTTCAACACTGATGTCTTTCAGGTGTGGGCTTAGCTCACTTAGTCAGATTCTTGTAAAACCCCAGGTGCTGCTGTATATATGGAGAAATTGCAGTGCTTTCCTGGACTTCAGTGTAAGTGTAGGTCATAGAGAGAGAAAACTGAGGCTCAAGATAAATAGGTGGCCTGATACTTTCCTAAGCACAGACTTTGGTCCAGTGGGTGCCCCCTGTGTCGATCCGGGAAGCCTCAGAGCGCAGGTCTGAGTCACACTTGGCACTGCTTGAAATCCCACGCAGTTTCTTAGCTTGCTGACTTCATGAGATCACCAGTACCTCCCAGAAATATCCTGTGATGATTAGATCAACACATTCACGTGAAATGCTTAGACCCATCGTGCCCAGTGCATCTCAGGTGCTGGCTGCTTGTCAGACATTACCGTTTGTAGTGTCAAACCAACGCCAACTGATCTTCAGAGTGGGAAGAAGCCCTGAGAGACTACCACGCTCACCAGGTTTGTAGGCCGTTTCTGAAGACCATTTCTCTCAGACTCTCTGGGGCAGTCAGGGAAGCTGGATTCGCCAACCGTATAGTTCTTAAGCACCTGGGCTGAGACGAGGGCGCAGGATAAGAACACCAGGAGGGCACAAATCACTCTCGTTTTTAAAACCTCCTAGTTAATGCACAGGTAGAGCAGAGCTAAGTAGAGGGGAGTTTCTGGTGTGTGCTCATATCATCGCAAGAGACTGGAACACCATCTTAGCCAGTCGGATTCCACACTGAGCCACGTTGCTCAGAAGCCCTCCGAACCAGAATGGCGCCGGCAGCGGTTTGAAGAAAAGCAGTAGTTTCCTGGTAAATTGCTTCCGTCTGGCTCAGCGAGCTCCACTTATCATTGCAGATGAGAGCCTCTCCAGGTGGAGATCACAGCTGAAGTCATACTCAGAAGGGAAGTGTTCTGGTTGTCGTTGATTTTCTAAGATCACAAAAAAAGATACTATAAGGCTGGCTTGACGTCAGCAGTGGAAAATGAGGAGAAGATGCGGGCTAGGGGATGGGGGTATCTGTCATGGAAAGAGAGAGCTCAGATGACCTCACCTCAAGCTGCACAGGGAGACAGAAAACGCTTCTCCTCTCCTGGCGTGTTTTCCTGGTCTTTTTGTGAGTTGAGCAGCTGACACATTGTGTCGAATAAAGAGATCAGAGAGCCCCTGCTGGGAGGATAAAACTCAAAGGTGGTTGTTCTGAAATTCTTGTTCTGCTTCTCCTCATCGTGGTTTAGTAGCTGCAATAAAAAAGAAAAGGAATCGTGTAAGCGTCTCATAATGTTAAGTCATTTCAAATCGGCAACCCTCAAATTTCTCAGCCTGCCATGGTTAACTAGCGTTTTCTTCATCAAGTTAGACTCAAAGACGGCTTGTCACCAGCAGCGGAGGCTGATTAAAGAAACTTTTCAACAGTGCCCAGATTGAAAGGAAAGCTAGATGAGTCTGAGTGCATCCCGGTGGTACTCGGAGTCAACGGGCCCTAGTAGAGACTAGAATCCTAAGCGACCAAGGCCTTAAGTTCTCAAGTGCCGAAGCCCAGAAAGCCCACCAGAGACCTGAGCTTCTGTAGAACGTGAAAAACCAATATACTTGGCTCTCAAGTAGACTTGAGGAAACAAATAAGGTACAGGCAAGTGTTGCAAGCACACTTGTCCCAGTTCCTCATCTGCTTAGTGAGCTGCAAGAAGGGTGGGCAGATGGGGGATAGCATTTCTTCACCATGGTTTCTAGGAGAGTCTGCAGCCACCTATAGCCACACCCTGTTGTAGGAGGCCACTTGTTTGTTCCCGGCTGCTCAGCCCCAAAATAATCACACAGAAACTATATTAATTAAATCACTGCTTGGCCAATCACTTAAGCATCTCACTAGCTATTTCTTATATCTTTGGTTAACCCATTTCTATTATTTTATATTTTACCATGAGGCTCATGGCCTACTGGCAAAGTTCCAGCTGTCAGCTTGAGTGTTTCTCCTCGGGCAGCTCCATGGCATCTCACTGACTCTAACTTCTTTCTCCCAGAATTCAGTTTAGTTTCCCCCACCTAGCTGTTTTCTCCTGCTATAGGCTCAAAGCAGTTTCTATTCATTGACCAATAGAAGCAACACATATACAGAAGGATCTTCCACATCAGTATGCACTATGTGTTCTTTGTCTAGAACTCTGTATGGAACA